AAATGTAGTTTAGATTTTGAACAGATAACTAGAGCCCAATGGACTAGAGTAGCAATAAGGTTCGTTTTGTGACTTTTTTGACTGAAGGAATCCCATCGTGTCCTGTCCTGTAAAGGTAGGTTTTCTGTATATACCAGTGAGAAAATGAAAGTCATCTTTTTCAACTAAGATGTCTAGAAATGGTGACGAGTTATGTCGTTACTTACTGTTCCTAGATATCTTAGTTGAAAAAGATGACTTTCGTTGAAAAAGAGAAAATAACATAAAATATAAAGATTTACTGAAAGAAAAAATATTTGATATTTATGTAGAAGGTTTTGAAGGCTACACAAATGAAATTTGAAAGTTTTTTAGATGAAGAAAAGTATTTTTAATCTTAATACAAAAATCATTTTGCACTCGGAGCAGTCAACACTCTTGATTCCATATGAGTAGTAAAAGCACTTCATTAAAAAATTTGATTTTTTGTGCACAAAAGACTTAATATTAACTGAAAGCTTGCCAAATTTCATGAAGATATATAAAACATATTGAAAGTTACAGTATGAAAACGATGATGGTTACTTTGTGGTTATGAGGTCAGTCACATCACCCGAATCCGTATGGAAGAGGTAAATGAAGAGACTGAGTAAGAAGTTTGTAAAGTACATGACTAGCAGATAATTTATATATACATTAAATACTTTTATATATACAGCTAAGTTACTTTTATCTATAGTTTTTACAATAAATTGTGTTGTTACTTTTCCCTTCCAGTATCAAAAATAATCCACATAGACAAAAATATATCATGTTTCTATCATCTAAATACACATTAACAAAACCAAACAAACCTGTAATGAAAATGTTAGATCCAATTCTGTGTCCAGTAGTCCTGTACTGGGAATCATTATTTCATTTGTCCGTAGAGTACGCTTTGAGCTCTAAAAGTTAAAATATATGATAACAGTCACTACCAAAACTGGATACAGTTGATGTCTCACAAAAGAAGCTTAAAATATCACACATAAATGAAAAAATACACATTTACACACATTTTCACAGTCTAATGTTATTCCTGTTAAATACATGCAAAAACTGAATATTCCAAATATTCACAATTTAAATCTTTAAAAAAAATAGCATCAATAAAGTGGAAATTCCAAACTTAATCTCCTGTTTACAATAACCAATATGATACAGTAAATCATTAAGTAAAAATTTATTATGCCAGCTTTAAGCACATCAGAGAAATTAAACATTTTTTTTAGATAAATGTACTCACAATAAGCCACCTGAACTCGGTACAACTTAATATAGAATAGTTTTTGTTTGTTGTTGTTTTTATTTGTAACAACTCTTACGAAATTATGTGATAACTAACAACTGCATACACATTAAGAACCTAAAAACTGAAACAAAAATTGTATAAATTTTACAATTTTGGGATTAAAATTAGTTGCTAAGAGCCTTTCCTTGCCAAGTTTCTCTCATTCTGTAAACAACTATGCGATTCAAAGTTCTGCACGTCCTTTATGAAATGAAGAGCATACATCAACTTATCCATAATTCTTCACTCTTGAAACTTTCATGCAAATTACTGTGCATGCATCAGGGGATCTTACATAAACTTTGCTTTCTTGCTATAGTTCATATTTCTAAATTGCAATTGTGATGGAAAAACCATTTATCTGGTTGTGAGAAGATGGGAGGTAATGTACTTCAAAGATAAGTTAGTACCTGCTTGAGATTCATTTTAATTCTAAAAATGTGAAATTCAAATCAGGCCAACTTAACACTGAAATAGTAACAGCTAGTAGAACCACACTGAAAAGAAGTAGGGCCCAGGGAGATTTGACAAAAATATAGGTTATAAGGCAGGAAGAAAATAGCCTAGACTACACCAAAAATGTGGCTAAACAGAGTTGGAGAAGAATCCAGAACTAGAGATATTGAAAGAACTGAATTCAAGAAAGAATGAGTGGTGTGGATCAGCTTTCTATAAAGACTGGACCTATGGACAAACAGAAAGAAAACATTTTCTTTTTACCATGGACACCCTTTAGTCCATAGACAGAAAAAAAGGGATCAGTTAAGATCTGGTTGATCACTGTGAAGCTGCAATGGAAGCACAGGTGGTGGTATAAACAGGTAGGAGGAATACTATGTCCTACTCTCAAAGTGAAAGGTTCTCAGGGGGAGCAGCCTAGTCTATCCCTAATGCCTCACCATGACATGCACACAGAGGTGGGAAAGGTTTTTGTTGAGACATTATTAACCATAAGATACCATCCTCTATTCACTACAAGTGGGCATCACCCTCTCATAGAGCATTAGCACTGTAGGTGGAATTGTATCAAGGACAAATGCAAAGGTTTAAAATACATGCAAGAGCCCTGAGTGAATGAATCCATAGAAATACAGAATCTCCTAAGAGGCCATAAATTATGCATATATAATAAGGACAAATGTATAGATAAGAGCCTAAAAAAAAAGTCTCAAGTGTAAAGTGTTGGCCATAACAGAAACATATGGATCACTATACACAACATAGGTATGGGCACAAATAGTAAACAAGCTTTTAACTGAGAATAACCCAAATGCTAGGGAATCCATCAAAACTGGAGGATAACCACAGGCAGAAGATGAAGAGACAGCAATGTAATGTAAATATAACTGCAGAAATGTATTTGGATTCATCCATCAGTCAGCCTGTAAGATGTTCTCTAATGGGTATTGGGACCAGGAAGCCAAAGACATTGTAAAATGGCAAGTTTGGTAAGAATTTGCCTGAAATTCATTTTTAAATTGTGCAGAAACATCTCAATAAAAAATTAATAAACTGCATAAACCAATTTGTTAGTATGGACGGAACAAGATTCACTGTAAGGTATAATAAATAACCTATTTTGAACCCTCTGACACTTTCAGTTCAAGTAATACAGCAAAAAACTGCTCCAATAGGACATAGAAAACATTACTTGAAACAAAAATCTGGGTCAGTCAGAATAGGTAACACAACTGTTGAAAAACAATGGTTATCTTCTCTCGCAGCCCAAATTTTGCTCGGATAGGTTCTACCGGGATCAAAGTATAAAGTCTTCTTTAAAAAAAAAAATTAAAAAAGATATAGCATTTAGGGCATAAATGTCAAATTTTCTCCTACATGAAGCAAGTAATAGATGGATATCATAATAAGCAAATTGCTAAACATTCAAAAAGATAAGTGAGGCATCATAAAATAAAACTCAAGTCTCACTGATGACAGTGTCTAGGGATATGAGCACAAAGTACACAAAAGACTTAAAAACAATCATGAAAAAAGTGGGTAAAAAGAGAGGAAAATGACTTCTGATGTATTGGCATCTAAAGGTGGCAGATAGGGCAGCTCCATACCTGCAATAGAAGCAGATATGTCACAATCATGAAATAAGAAAATAGAAAATGAGACAAACCATTAACATGTTGGAAAAAAGACAAGAGACAATTTCTAAAGAGTCAAGAAACTAGCCCAGGGTTAAATGTCTGCAAGGATGTAACATTAGGGCTATTTGAGAAGAGAATCCAACTTCTCTAATAAGAACTACATAATATCCAACTATGAAGCTGTTGATGACAAGCATCATTGTGGAAGATGAATATTCAAGGCTGCCAATAGGTCCTAAATATTGATGCAAGATACTGATTCCTGGGTAGACCAGGAACCCAAAGGATGATGCTTTCCTGATGCAGTACCTCAGCCCTTCAAAGAAGCATCTGTAGAGATATGTAGATGAGGATGAAGGAAAGGGGGACCTACAGTAGTAAACTCTCAAATGAGCTAACCTTTAAGGTAATTGAGAGTAGTAGGATAGAATGAAATCCTCAGAAAGAACAAGTCTGAAGAAAAATATAACTGAAAAGCAAAATCCCACTGAGGATGTCCCATTGGGCACAACCCAAGGTGATTGCCTGATAAAGTGTAGTCATCATTCCCAAAGAAGATGTCTTTGTCTGATGGAGTAGAAGAGAAAGAGGTAAAAGAATCCAAAACTTCCAAGATTGCAGGGTCAGAAGAGATAGGTGAAGGGTTCTTCAAAAGGTGTTTCCAAAATTCCAGATACACCAAATACTGAGTATGTACAACTTAGGATCTGCACTCATGAACAATTCATCCCACAAAAAAAAAACTAATTGAATGGTTAATCATGAGTGAGTTAATAAATGAAGTGACAATTGAGCAAAAATAAGTCAATCCTCTAATGTGATGTTAAAAATCAATTTTGAATTCTTGTAGAAAACCAACAAAGGCTTCGACTACACATTTGTTGATGTAGTGAACTGAAGCCAAACTAAAAGGTAGAGCCATAAACTGATAAATCACTCCCATATAATAAACTCAAAGAAAATGTCAAGAAGACAGATGAATCTATATACATAAATAAACATATCTGAGATCCACTTTCACCATTTATAAACTATAAAAAAGAAATTCCCATAAACCTCATGTTTTTCCATCTTGAATGTCCAGATAATGACTGAGATGTGAAAGGTTTATTACCGATTCTCTTGACTTCATTTTTGGTATTAAAAAGAGAGAAAAACCTAAAGAAGCAAGGTGCACAGTAACCCCTTTCTGTAAAAGTTTCAAATATTCCTGATACAAAGTTTTAATACATACTGGATCAGATGAAATAACAAAAAGAAACTGGAGTAGGATGACAAAATTATTGGATAAAAAAATTCTGAACTGAAAAATCTACTAAGCATAAGGATCCTGAAGATAAACAAAGAATCTTATACTGCTTGAAAAGGAAGAAAATAATTGGCTTGGTCAAGAAAACCCACTACTCTTGCTTCTATGTGCCACAACTCCAAAGGAGTGAATGGAAAGAAAAGTGGAAGGTGAGAAGTAGTAGAGAAAAGTGCAAATATTGCAAGAGGACTACTGTTACTAACTGTACATCTAAAAGTAGGATGATGAACAGAAGTAATGCATTAAGCCAGATCATAAATAGCTCCTGCTTATGAATTTTTCCTGATTGAGAAACATAAGATCCTGCTACACACCAGAGACACCAAAGACTTAGCATTAATTGTCCAATTACATTGGTCAATAAAAGTAAATAATAAGGAATGGAAATTTTTCTGCACAACATAGGAAGATTTAATGAATAAAGCTTCAAAACAAGATGTAATAAGTCACGTGGAAAATAAAAGAGAGGAGATTTGTGGGTAAGTTGATGTATGCTCTGTATTGTATTAAGGACATTCAGATCTAAAAATTACATGACTGTTGATGAAGTGAGAGCAACATAACTAGGAAAAGGCTTTTAGTATTTCAGAGGTAAGTCTACCTTATTTAAATATCACAATTAAGACTTGTATAAAGACTATTGGAATTATCAAATACAAAGGTCTAGGATCCCTAGGAGTTTTTTTTTTTCATAACATGTAATAGAATACTTTATGTAGGATCATACATGAAAAATACACAACAATGCTAGTGAGAAAACTATATTTATATAAATACACATCAACAATGTGTGTGTGTGTGTGTGTGTGTGTGTGTGTGTGTGTGTGTGTGTGTGTGTGTGTGTGTGTGTGTGTGTGTATTCATTCATTTGTTCCTTGGCACAGTGATACAGGATGACATGAGGTACCTTTATATATTTTTATTGCACGTTTGAAAGTTTATTATGTTAAAAAAAAATTATCCCAGCTAGTAATTTATATAATAGGGTCAAATTTATTAGGGTGGGTCACCAATATAAATTGCATGAATAGTATGTGCAAAAGAGTATTGAATTTAAAAAGCTAATATATATATAAAAACCAGTTTCCTTTGGTAACACTCCATCTGTGTCACTTACCAACAAACTATGATCTGATATTGAACAAATAATAAAATAAAACTACTCAGAAAGTTTCATTGAAACAGGAGTTAAAGAAATGTCACAAAAAGTTTACAACACAGAAAAAAGTGGGTCAAATAGACTTTGTAAAAAAGTAGACAATAACTAAAGTTTTAGTCATTTAACTTCAAGATAAAAATTTAGTGGCCAACAAATAATTGCAAATAAATTTCATCTTCTTTACCTACTCATTCAATTTTTATTACAAGTTTGTTGCCAGTTAAGTCTACCTTATATTTGATGATATTTGTCTTAACTTAAATGTTACCTGTGCATTATATCCATTCATATTTCTAGGATCTAGCTGAAGACCAATAAACTTTTAAATTAAATTTTCCCCATAATTCACTAACAAGTCAACAATATAGTGCACAAAAAAATTACAAATCAATTAATCATGTTTAGTTAATAGAAAAAGTAGAATCAAAACTATTCAAAATGATGCTGGTAGGATAGCATTATAAAGTTCAACAGATGTAATTGATGCACTTCCTTTACAAGATTCTTCTTGTAAAGGAAGCTCTACTTCTCTATTTAAATTTATTTCACATAGAAAAGGTTAAAATACTTCAAAAAGAAATCAATTTCTATGAATTTATTACAAAAATAGAGTCGCTTGCAACAGCTTTGCACAATTATACATTTTCCAAACTAGAATGACCTATACTGTTTCAAAATATGAAAACTATAAAATTTCTTGTTTCATACAGCACTTATTTTCAATCCTCATTATATACTACAGAATATATATATCTATTTATTTGTAGCTCTATAGCTGTTTGTCATATAGCAAGACAGTTTCTTCTTTACGTTTTACTTATATCAGATACTCTGTGCTTGTGTCCACAACAGTATTTAGCAAACAAAAGTTTGTTTGTTAAATTAAGTGAATACCAGCAGTTTGCATAGAAAAAACTAATGAAGCAAACATATTTGCCTGTTAATTTTACAATGCACTTAGTAAGAAAGGCTGTTTTAACCAACATTTGAAAACAAAAACAGATGTACAGAGATTAATGGACAGCTAGTAAACTTTATTTCACAGTACGACAGAGATAGTGTTTTTGTTTTAAAACTTTTAACAGTTGTGGATTTAAGATACTTACAAGCTCACAAATTTATTCTACAAAATTTAAGTTCAAGATTTGAGGTTTTAAACATATTTGTATAAACAATATTCATTCTTTATGACATAAACCAGCCAAACGTACATACTAAAAATAATTGTCTGAACAACTGAATAGTTTAAAAATCACAATTATGATACACTTAATACACACCTGCATTTTCACTGCAATTGCTAAGGAGTTAACTTCAGCACTTAATGACTTTAGAAGAACCAGTCTTGTAAGTGTAAGAGTGCATAATCTATAAAAACAAGAAATGAATATACACAATAAAATTTCATAAAAAAGGTTTTAGATTACCCTTACAAAACCCTTAATTTATTAATGGAGCTTTGAGTGCAATATTGTGTAATAGACAACACCTTAAAAAAAGTTAGTGTATGAAGAAACAAAACATCTTTCTGTCTTAAAATACTAATTCTCGAACTTCATACCTATCTCAAAAGGAGAAAAGAGATATCATACAAACACCACATACCTGGTATATGACACTCCATCCTATTTTCCACTATTACAAATGAGTGAGTAAATAAAGTTAAAACAATTATGAATATGGGGATAAGCAAGTCATGACAATTACAGCCTATATAGTCACAATGACATGGAATGTACCAGAACTACACTTTAATATTGTTTGGCATCTTATAGATAGTGCAATACCACTGAAACTGATCACTTTTGAGAAGGGTATATGATGGTTCTATCTAATATAATATATTTACATATTAAGATCATAGATATGTGTTCAGATCAGGGATTTAGAATTACCAGAATGGGAAATATCTTTTGTACTTAAAGGCATTTGAAAACAAATGAACATATATATCAACTTGGGGCACCAGCACCACCCAGAAAAAGATCTGGAACAAGTCACACCACAGCCATGGTAAGCAAAGTGAGGCATCTTGTAACAGGTGAGATTCCATAAACACAAAGGTCAGTTGCAAAAGCCATCTATGTGCCCTGGACAACAGTATACAACATAATCAAGAAAGAAAATCTAAACCTAAGCAATCAACTTTTATTACCTTTCAAAAACATGGCAGTGGTTATTATAACATGTTTCTATGGTGAGGATAAAGCAACTTTCACATTTCACATGAAAGACAAAATTAGGAAAAAAAGACACTTAACATAACTAAATATCAGTGTTTACATGGGACCAACTTTTATTTATAAACTTTATTGATATTATCAAGTCTATCTATAATCATCAAAAAATCAATTCAGTCCAAACATTGTTTTTCATCACTAAACAAGGAGTATAATTTTCATTAAAAGCCTCAAAACTTTTAATTTTTAAAGTTCCATTTGCCTTATAGTTGGACTTAACAGGCTTAGTAAGCCAAAGTTGGGTTCCAAATTAGTCGTATCTATGTTGTTGTTTTTTCAGATAACTGTAATGTGAAAAACCTATAAACTCACATTCGGCAACATACCTTAACACTCAGCTTTAGCTAGCTAATACAGGAAACTCACCCAAATTAGAGTAGCCAAGGCACAATATAAATATTTCAGTAAGTAGCTTTCCTACAGATGTTCAATAATAATATTAAAAAAAATCTACATCATATTATAACCCAAGACATACTATGAATCAACCACATTTAATGCAATACTTTTTCTAGATTTTCTGACAATTCCTACAAAATATCAAACATTCAAAAATCTTTGGATGTCTTACTCTGAATTACTTTTGTTGAAAATAATCAGAAATGCTTTGTTGCCATATGCTGAATCAAAATTATTTGTAAACACATTGCCTGCTATAGCTATTAGAGAATTGTGCCAATCTTATTTGGAGATTGAGAGCTTTCATGAGATTGTTTTGTTGAAACCAGCCAATCACACTTGAAAAAGCTAAGAATGTACCATTTATTTTATTGAGCAGCCAACACTGCTAGAAGCATCCACATCTCTGACTCATCCAAGCAAATTTTCACAAATCGTAGGTGTAATCTAATATTGCTTCAGGGAGATTGAAGATGGCTGCAAATTTATTAAAGTTAGCATTTTCCTACACTGAAAATTCCTTTCCAATAGATACTTACCTCCTCTCACAAAATATTTTTTCTCAACCAGAACTGCCCTCTATCGGCACAAATTTTCAACACATGGCACTACCCTTCTGCCTCCCGCTTCTGTTTATCTACATGCAAATGATCATGCAACAGCTCTCCAACAAGGAGCATGACACTACTCCTATCACATGCAGCACCATCCTGTTTGCACTCATTAATCACTTTGAGATAATATTTTTTCTCAACCAAAACTGCCCTCTATTGGCACAAATTTTCAACACATGGCACTACCCTTCTGCCTCCCACTTCTGTTTATCCACATGCAAATGATCATGCACCAGCTCTCCAACAAGGAGCATGACACTACTCCTATCACATGCAGCACCATCCTGTTTGCACTCATTAATCACCTTGAGATTGGTCAGAAGACCTACATCATATATCACTGGAAGTGGGGAGGCTGGGTTCAAAATGTGAGAGGAGGTATCTATTGGAAATAAATTTTCACTGTAGGAAGATGCTAACTTCTGTTACAATATCTTACCTCTTCTCACAAAATAGCTAAAATCTTACACTGTACTGGTAGAGTGCTGATAAAAATATGATCCTTTAGGAAGCACCCAAAAGAGACCAGGAGGTGTGGAATCACACCTCAGTGGGAGACGGCACCACATCTAATCCAGGTATACTCTTCACTCTTTTTATGACATAAAAGGCAGAAACATGAAGGAATCCTTGAATATGTATGATCGAGCAATAGGACTTCTGGGTGTTAAGTGGCTAGGGCCCAATAGACCGTAGTGGTAGTTCAACTTCAACCAAAACCAGGCGGTATTTGAAATGGTACATCAGATCCGAAATAGGTAGAGGAACCCCTACCTCTTCACCTTGAAATAGGAATTGATAGGGAAGACGAGCTTCCATACCAAAATCAATTGCCACTTGCATGCACTTCCAACCCAACTAACACCTGATTCACCGAGAAACAACATCCAACAGACAGTAGGAATGTGGAAATCCCCAACAGGATAACATCTCCAGTCCAAAACTGATGGCAATGGAGATAGCACTTCTGGTCTGCAATAGGAGGAAGATATAAGGTCATGTACAAGTGGGAAAACATGCTGTGTCCAGCTACAACCAACACCAGATCTGCTGGGAATTGATATCCAGCTGATGATAGGAAGAGGGACTGTAAATCTAGGGTGCATCTCCAATCCAAAACCTGGTGGCAGTGGGCATTTGTCATCCAGTCTGCAGTAGGAGGATGAAAAACCAGGAAGCATACATGTGAGGACTTACTGAGCTGGACCATCTCCAACCAACAACGGACCCACCGGAAATATACATACAGAAAACAGTAGGAAGGAGGAATATATCAGACCAAGATAAAGCTACAATGATATAGATAGATATTTATGACATGGCAGAGTGCTTCAACTACAACCTGGTGGCATCTGAAATTGATCATCAGTTCCGTGGTAGGAAGGACATCATGCCATAGAAAGATAAGTCAGATATATATTAGGTCGTCAAGAAATTAATGTCACATTTTGGAACACTTTCATTAACCACCCCCCAAAAAACGTTTTGGGGTCGAAGTATTTTTGTCTAGGACTGAGCCATTGTTTTTGGCATTTAATATTCGCATAAAGAATCCATTTTTCATCACTGGTGACAATGCTGTTCAAAAGTGGTTCACAAGCATTACACACCAGAAAAGACGAACCAACATTCACATGTTGGAAACGATGATCCTCGGAGAGTTTGTGAGGCACCCAAACACTTTCTTTATGGAGTTTTCCCATATTCCTTAGATGTTTACATATTGTTTAATGAGAGACGTGCAATTTCAGGGCCATTTCATGAGTGTGTTGCCTTGGGTTAGGCTCAACAAGCATCTTCAGAGCATCAATATCAATTCCAACATGTTGGCCACCATAGTTTTAAATTGTTGACACTTATGAATATTCAAAACATGTTCATAAACTTTTACGATATTATTTGTGGCTACAGAGGTGTTGTTTTCCTTCTTGTATTCAAACAGCATTACATGCCATATGTGTGCCTCATCATGTACCATCACTATAATGGATTGGAGTATACTAAACTTTACACATTATATAGGCTACACTAATATGATGTTTAGGTGGTTCATTTAACTTGTATACATGATGTACATTGATGATGCTTTTCCATCTTTTCTGATGAAGAGTTTGATTTAAATGTTCCACTATAGATCTCTACATTGACAGTTCACTGTTGATTAAGGAGTTCAAAATTAATTACTCGTTTGTCACACTTTTTGGCAAGTGGTGCAACCATAATAGTTGTCAATTACATTGTAGCATACTTGATGTACAGTTGCACATGCCACTAGGTGTTGGTTGTGTGTCTCAATATTTTTTGTTTTCTATAATTAAATAATTCCATCACAGGTTTGGGTTATATACACTGTAGAAATGGAGTGTTCCATAGGACTGCTAGTAGTTCTCTCTAGTGGTATTGTGCTTCGTAAATATGTTTGTCCCAGACTGTACACTCATGGACTAACATGAGTAAAGCAGACAGAGATTGCTGCTTATCTCTGTGGCTCCTTGGTGTTGAGTCTCTTCCTACTGCACACCTGATGTACAATTCCAGATGTCACCTGGTTTGGGTTGATCGACTTCGTTGACATAGTAGCTCTGCTTTTTCAAATAGGGTTTCACAGTCACCCCTTGCACTGTCTCTGGTCATGCAGTCCTCTGGACTCTCCAATGCATCCCCATTTCTTCTACTGGAATATGAGAGTCCTTACCACTTACCAGTCCCTAGCTGCTTGGGTGGTGGACTATGGAGGTCTGTCCTCCTGAGTGATGAATCATACCACTTAGTTGAGTGTAGGGTGGTGGCATTCTACAGGTGTTGCTGGTGTTTAGCACTTCATACTGCAGAATTGATGTACACTTCCAGATGCCGCATGGTTTTGGTTGTTGCAGTGCACTGTATTTCTGTCTATTAAGTCATCAAGAAATTAATGTTTTTTTTAGCTGAAAACCCAAACAACTTGTATATCAAACTAACATTTATTAAATGAAATAGTCTCCATTCTTAATTTACAAGATGAAAAGAAAAAATAAGACCATGAAAAGTGAGAAAAATTTGAAGAAGAAGAAAAAAAAAGCCATGGCACAATATCCAAATGCAGGAATTTTGATAAATAGTTCAGAAAAAAATGAAGTCAGTAGTATAACTGAAAACATTGATAAATCCAAAAACAAAAAGTTAATATTTTCCTAAATTGAAAATGTATTTCCAATAATACTTATCTGTACGGACACTTATAGCTATTACTCGACCACCAAGGTTTCTTCTTTGCCCATCTAAGCATTGGTCTGATTTTTTCTTGCTTGCTCCAGTCTTTTATACCCCACTCAATTGCACTTAGCAATATTTGTCTGGTGATACTCTCCACCTATGTCAATGTGCCCTCTATCCTGGTACTGTATATAAGCACCTCATTCAGATAGTTTTAGCACTTTTTCGAGACTGACACCATCCCAGTCTCTAACACTGGCTCTTAGTATGGAGGAAGGGTGAAAGAGTGTCAGCGGAGGTAAGTATTATTGGAAATACATTTTCAATTTAGGCAAATTTTAACTTCCAAAAACATACTTACCTCCACTGACACTTATAGCTAGAATCCCACACTGAGAAGGTGGAAGGGCCAGTGAGGGCATTATCCATACAGAAAGCATCTGCATAGATCATGAATGTACCAAGATAAGATTGTACCAGAGTGAGGGAACTGCATTACCTCCAGAACAGGTATGCTCTTCACCCTGAACTTAGTTCCAAGGCTTGAATTGTACATGAGTGATCATTACTATAGGCCAGCCTCAACCAGACAGTTGAGGTTCCACTATTCAGGGTTGGAATTAAGCGGTCTTGGTACCTATATCCCAAACTGATGGTTAGGGAAATTGGACTGCAATGTTACATATATAGATGTATACTATTGATTGAATCCCAACCTGTAGCTATACAGTGATGCATTCCAAACCACCAGAATGACGACAAGAAAGTAAGCAATACTGAAGAAGACAAACCCTCTCCTCCATTTGAAACAGCTCGAAAGGCTCAGAATGACAGGATCATGTATGCTGTACTTAACCAAAGGAACATTATGAACATTCATCCTCACTCCCCAACTGGAATTATGGAAAGGATGTGGAACAACTGTGCTCAACCATAGATCCAGGATGGGACCACTTCATGTTCCAAATTATGAGGAGATAGTGAACCTCCTTCCATGAACAATGTACTGAACCAATATTGATCAAAAAGAAGGTCCATGTACACCTCAACTGGATAGCTGAGCATTAAATCTAAATCAGCGTTATGAGTAGGCTCCTGCATAGGCTGGTGCTGCTCCTACTTACATCTGGGAAAAAAAAACATATAGGAATCTGGGTAGGAGGACCCCAACTTTGCCCTCTTCTCTGAAAGTGGAGGAATTCACTCTAACACTCTGGAGGAAAAGCCTCTGTCCACCACCCCAGTAACTGGAAACCAGGTATGTTAAGGACACACTAGCTCCACTAATAGAATCTGGTGGGGTGGGGGTATGTGCATTGGGGAGTTCTGAGAAACAATGTTCTGGAAACAGTGCAGTAGCTGAACCAAGTTCCTTAAATTTTTAAAAGCAAACCGACCCTGATTTATTCAATCCAATGATCAGCAGGGATGTGCAGGATCCCCTTTCACTTTACTCATGATAGTCCATGAGTGGCAGTCCAGCATAGTATGGTAATACCACCAGGTGAGCTCCTAGGTGGTCTTATGGAACACCCTATTGCTATAGAGGCTGTTATAGTGAAATAGTAGTTGCTAGTGTGGAATTGGTTTGATAAAAATCCCACCTGTCTGGGCAACACTCCCCACAGAGTTAGATCCTGTGAAAACTAGGTAAGGGGCTCTTAAAGTTAGAAATAAAAATATTCACCCCTCTGAAGAATCTAGCAGAAATGGTTAAGATAGCTACAGTGGGTAGGCAAAAACCATCAGATGACCTAAACATACCTGGTAGGTAACTGGAATGGTCATTTGGGACCAATGACCCAAAATGATGAGGAATATGGATAACACTGGGGAATCAAAAAATATGTAGTCATGATAATCGAACAGTATTCAACAAGGCGATTGTGGAAGATGCAAAAAGCTCTGTCAAAGAGCTAAGTAAAAAAAACGAGTTATAGTTGACACCATTGATTGAAAAAAGGTTCAATCTCCTCTCAATACAACATCACTGATATGCATGTTATTGCTGTTGATAAAAGTGCCTTTTGGACGAAGTAGAAACTAAGACAGATATATGCCAACCTTAGTAATTAAATCCCAATGCCATGTGAAAGACAGCATAACCTCTGTGCCAGAAGCTCAAGCTTCTGGATAGCTGGGTGTACCAGATCAGATCCACAGTGAGAGCCTAAAAATAAAGGGAAGAATTGGACACAACAGAAGGGACCATAGAAGCACAAATCAGGGTTAGGTATCCAATCAAGTGCTATCAAGAGGATCAGACAATGGATTGAAACAAATCATATTTTGTAACCTGGGTAACATATGAAGTGAATAGAACGTTTAGAGTGATAATCCCATAATGTCCAGACAGAAAGAATCTATTGTCAAGGCCTAAAGATGAGGTACTGAAAACCAAATTGCCAGTAGTTGGGTGATCCAATGACAGGCCATCCCACCAATTAGAGGTGCAAAATAAGAGCCAATCCAACAGAACCCTGAAATTCAAGGAGCAGAAGCATTATTTGAGAGTTGGAAAAAAATGCCTCCACCTGGTAGTGGTAGACTAAATCATGAAGTACTGACAACGTGTCAGATAAGGCCTAACTGTCGCTTCACATAACTTCCAGAATGAACCACAATGTCAATCAATGGAGAAAAAATAAACAAAATTTTGCTCCCAAACCTGTCAGCCATCAAGGAAGTTGCAGGCTCAAAAGCAACCTGGAAAGCCCAAAACATCACACACTCGAAGAACCAACAGAAGAAAAACAAATCAAATGCAGCTTATCCCAAAGTGGCCACCTTTTCGTTTAACTGGAACAGAATGTTGTGAGGGAAAGCAAGTTATTTTGTTAGAGCAAAGCAACTTCGGGCCATCTGCTGTGTCCACCCTAGGGAATCAAACCCCAGACCCAGTGCTGCGAGTCCATAAATATACCACTGTCCCACAGAGGAGCTGAAAATCCAACAGACTAAAAGAAGACACAGGAAAATATAAATCTAAAGTCTCTCCAAAATGTCAAAGATTGCCCTCAATTGCAGCCTCAGAGCCACCTGGAGGACCACTACAGATCCAAATATATGTCGCTATCTCACGATGAATAAGAGCACTGACAGTCTCAATAGAGAGAGATGCTTTGTCGAGAAAATGTTATAAAATTATCTGAATGAGGCACTTATATACAGTACCAGGATAGAGGGTGCATTGATGCAGGTAGAGAGTATCAGCAGACAAATATTGCCAAAAGCAATTGAGTGGGGTATAAAAGACTGGAGCAAGTAAGAAAAAAACAGACCAATGCTTAGATGGGCAAAAACGAAACCCTGGCAGTCAAGTAATACCTATAAGTGTCAGCAGATGTAAGTATGTTTTGGAACTAGCAAGTTGTACAGTACTACTGCCAATCAAAAAGTGATTAATGAGTGCAGAAGGTGGTGCCTATGATAGGAGTGGTGTCATTCTCCTATTGGTGGAGAACTTCTGCATGATCATTTGCATGTGGATATGCAGAAGTGAGAGGTGAAAGGCTAGTGGTGGGAGTTAAAAATTTGTGAAGATAGAGGGCAGTGCTAGTCAAGAAAAGCTATTTTGTAAGAGGAGGTTAGATATCATATCAGAACTGTGAATGTGAGGATTTTCATAGATGTAATGAAGATAATATGAATCAGCAGTTTTGAACAATGTTAGATGGTAACCACAGTGATTAATAACAAAAACTTAAATACCCACACCATGTCCATTTGAGAATTGCTATTTTGAATAATGTTAGGTGGCAATCATAGTGATTATTAACTAAAACCTAGATACCCACACCATGTTCAGTTAATAATTACTCTTTTGAAGAATATTAGGTGGAATAGTGGCAACTAATTAAAACCAAGATACCAACACCACATTCAGTTAATAATTGCCCCTTTTGAACAATGTTATATAGTAATCATGGCAATTACTAGCTAAAACCTAGATACCCACACCATGACCACTTGAGAACTACCATTTTGAACTATTTTAGGTGGAAATGATGGTGATACAAACTAAAAGCTTGATAACCATACTATGACCAGCTGAGAACTGCTGTTTTGAACAATCTTAAGTGGTTAGACATGGGCTTGATGCCTAATGTAAGCTGGTGTTTGAATATTTTTCACATTATTCTTATTTACTTTCTAAATGTTTCCAAGCTGACTGACCAAATAAAACAAGTTTTTCAACTTTAATGAACTTGTTAATAGGGCATTAATTCAATGATTGAAGATTTTAACAATAAATACCTAATGCAATTTAATTTTAGGTTGAAAAGGGTAAACACATATACTTACAGTATAGGATTCGAGTCTTACTAATTTAACAATTTGATGTTAATTACCTACTCTGTTTTATCAAGTTTTAAGTATCATTTCTGCTATAGAAAACAGGCTCCATCAGATCTACAAGACATCAACGGAAATTCCAGAATAGGCAGGAATTAACATTGGTTTTGTTTATGAAGAACTTTTAGTAGTTAATTATCTAGGTCCCATGATAATTACCTGCACTTTTGTTTAACTGATGCAATATATTTTCAACTATGATATAGTATTTTCGGTATTTACCTTGGAATACAGTATGGTGGGGTCTTGTCAACTTCCCAAGCAGCAAACAGTTTCATTGGAACTGGCTTCATCCATACATTAGAAGGTTGTTTGTTGGATTTGTCTGTCATCATTTTTATGTCTTAATCTGAAAAACATACATATTATACAGCACTAAACCCTTTGGACATTCTCAAATCTATAGACACAGACAGGTAGATAACTAAAATAGCTAATTACAAATATTTTAAAATTATCTTTCTATGTGTACCTGGATTTGATTTTTACTTGGTTACATTAATTTACATGTACCTGGTCCACTTAAAATCCACAGTATGAGGATTTGAATATAATTTACTACAGTATACACAATGCTCAGCTGTTAATACTTTCACAATTTATTTCTTGTCTTGCAATGTGTGTACAGAGTAACTATACCCAATCAAATTACAAAGTACACAAGTGTACTTAGTTTAATTTAAGGAGAGAAAAAAAATACTGCAAAACAAGTGATGCTAATGTTCAATTACTATAATGCATCAAGGCTCAAAATTAAAGCCAGCAAACTAACAAATAGTAGGTTATAGTTGCAATTTTTATACTAAAATTTACAAGATACTATTAAAAATTGTGAATGTAATAAATATTTAGAAGAAAAGATTTGCAGTCTTACTGTCAAGTATCGATACATTCAATATATAAAATTCATGCCTTTTAGTTATTTATACTGCAAGTTCCCAAGTACAGAAGCTTACTGTAATTGTAGTTAACATTGTTTCACTTGCCAGACCCATGCTAGTTTGTAAACTCCACTTCAGCTGCATGACATACCCACACTAGATATTAGGAAATGGGGATACTGAGACTACAGCTTGATTGGTTGCCAAGGTTATTAGAATATGGGCCAGCATGGCTAGACTCGCAACATCAAGCCTGTGCAATCCACTTTTGCCAGAAGCATAGTTAGAAATTTTGAGCCCAAGTGGTTGCTCAATGGAGGTAACAATAAAACAAAAATAACAAACTGCACATTTTTTTCTATATTTTTCTTAGTTTCTCCATGGTAAACACAAATGTTAAGCCTATTGGCTTTGAATGCATTACCAGCTGTTTTTACTATAGGATACTGTAAACTTTCTCAATTCAAGTGCTCATGGACTAGATTCACCACTTTCTGTCAAAAATTAGCATATTTTAACTTTTGTGAAACAGTTACAATAAAAATACAGCTACATAACCAAAATGAATTTTGATATTTGAAAAGAAAAGATGACACAGAAGATTTATACTTAAAAATATGATACATATATATTTATGAACATTTAATATATGATATACAGGTCATTTTACAGAAGAATGTTGTTGCTACTACCAGTCCCAGATTTCGTAATGAGAAAAAAGTAGCAACCATTTCCTAATGACTTCAATAGTAAAGATCAAGAACTTGTACACATTCAAGATACTGTATATAAAAATAAAAATAGTTAGGTTAAAGAAGTGTCATAATAGCATGACTAATATTTATTTAGTTGAATCAAATTATGTTAATATAAGTTATAAATAAACTGAAAAAGTCTATAAAAAAATTCATAGAGGCATATGTTATACCCCAGTTTTGAGTAGTAACAATTTATCTAAATATAACAGCAAGAATTTATAAGTTTTTAAATTTATAATTAATAGAAATAATCATTCAAATTTAAAAAAACACTTTACATCTTCTAGATTTATTAGAACTTGAGAAGGATCAAGGTGAAAGTTAACCATTCAGCTACAGTAGGTTTTGTCCTCCATCCAGAAAAAAAAAAATCAAGAAATGTTAATGTTTGGAAACTAAGCCACTCATTTATATTCATACAATTTTCAAGAACAGCACTTACATTATCCACCATTTCATTTCATGAATTTACTACTTAAACTAAAATTCCCTGAAATAGCTCCTAGAATTCTTATCAACTCTGTCCAATCATCATACATTTCATGCATGGTTTAAGAATATATGCTTTAACTGTTACCCACATTTATTTATATATACGAGTTACTACAACAATTGCTTTAATTTGCTGAAAATTTTTAATCTTTGTTTTGTTAGTACCCTTTATATTTCTCACTGATATCACACACTATTAACATTCAGATACATATAATAACAAGCACTACTAACTTCACAACTGAGATTTCTGCTATATTTACATAGATCAAAACTAACAGGTTTTACATTACTGAAAACAAGCCTGTTTCACATTAAAATATATATATATATACAAAATCAGTTTTCCTCTCACACATTACATTCTTCAAACAGTTGAGTACATTGTTATATTAAAATGATTTTGATTATGCAAAACAGCAAGTTGCATGAAAACTGAAGTCAATATAAAATCACAATGGAACATCATGCATGAGAATTACATTTGATATTGGCATTTTGTAGGTATTTTATGCAATTGAAAATTGATCACTTTGGGGAAGATTATGTAACAGCCATTTCCAATAAAAAAATATTTATACACTCAGATCAAAAGATGTGTTCAGGTTAGTGACTTAGAATTTCCAAGACAGGAATATCCCTTGTACTTAACAGCATTGGAAAACCAAAGAACATGGATCAACTTAGGGCACCATGAATTATATTCAGAGGAAAAAAAAAAGTCAGTGACAAAAGCCATTCATACATTCCAAGTAACAGTACACAACATAATCAAGAAGAATCTCCATCTGGAAAAGCAACACAATTTACTTTCATAACATATGCTTACAACTTTCACATACCTTAAACAGCTGGAGAAGGAAATGGGTATTTATGCTAATCCACATAAAAATATACTAACAAGAGGGGCACTCAGTAGAGCACATACCTCCACCACATAGCATTGCATCATATTCAGCTCTCAAAAAATTTGAAAGTATGTCCATTGCTATCAATGGACAGAGATAATTTTTAGCAAGACAATGAGGAATAAAATTCTACATATGTCCACCAGGTTTCATCAAAAATTGATCACTTTTGACTAAGTTATAGAGCAAAAATAGTGTGAAAAATTGGTTCCCATGTCAACAGATAAGGATTTTTTTTGTGATGTTGATGTGACGTTGACCCTTCAAAACAAATTATAGTCTAAATGTATACCAATTTTCATCTAAACCCATTCAGTCATTTGAGAAATCTTGCTGACAAACACACACAGGGTGGAAACATAACCTCCATCCACTTTCATTGGCAGAGTTAATAACATATATAACTATTTTCTCTTTCATCCTAACTAGACATTCAGCTGAAGGCTTCAGGCTTTTACAAGCAATTACATCTTAATCTTTTCACATAGCACTAACATTTTTTTCACAAAAGGTTTAAGTTTTCTTTTAATTTCCATAACCTGAAAACTAACTTTACACTAACAACACAAAACTTATTTTCTGCATTATGGTCTACTTAATGAAATAATCAAGATTTCTTTAAAGAAAAACATTCTCAACAGAATCAGCCATTCCTAGTATTTTAGGCTCATTAGCAAATTTAAATATATAACAGCCCAAGAACTTGTATAACTTTCTGACATGTTTGACATTAAATAATAAAAATCCAACACAATTCTTCCAAGGTTCTAAAAGGTTTATATTGTTTACTCCTACATCTTTACTTTCAAGCGTTCCAAGCTTTTCTAAAACTGCTTTTTCTTCAACATAAATTAAGAAAAAAACTCCCAATTTTTAAAGACATTTACTAGTTTAGGCATTTTTCTTTATCCCATAAAACAATAAAAAATTGTTTGTTACTTCAATCATGAACCCTCCTTCCTTTATTATTTTCATTAATGATCTTGGTGATAGAATAACTAGTAAATTGGCAAAATTTGCACATATTCAATTGGTGGACATTCTAATTCTACAAAAAAGTATGTAGATTTGCAGAGAGAGACTTGAACTACTTGGTAAGCAGGGTTAACACCTGAAAAATAATTTTTGATCTTAATAAAAGTAAGATTATGCATATTAACATATGGAAAGCAAGAGACCATTTTACATTTTAAGCCTGTTCTTGTACACCCACATCTGAAAAGTAAACCTATCCTTTATTTTTCAGGAAATCATCGATTTCCCTCTAAACTCTTTTAAGACACCAGTTAGAAAAATAAAACTGTCTTAATTAACTACATACTAGTAAATCTCCTCTGATTCTTTTCTAACAAGTCAATATCCTTTATTAAATAAGGAGACCAAACCTGCTCAAATTATTTCAATTATGCCTAACTAGTGACTTGTATAAAGATAGAATTATTTCTTTTCACTAGTAATTAATGTTTATGAACACATCCTAAACTTTTATTACATTCTACCAGCAACAGAGTGCTACCTTGATGGCTTAAGTCGCTTTATCTATCACTATACGAAGATCCTTTTCTTCAGTCACACTATTAAGAAGGTTCTCATTTTTATCAAGCATGTGATCCAATTATGACTCAAATGCATTACATTGTAATTATAACTAAAGGTCATTTGCCAAATATTTTTCCAACTAATCAGCTGATTCAAATCATTCTATAATACTTCAACATACTCGATACGGCAAGAAATACTGGAGTGTTTAATGTCATCAACAAACTTTACCAATTTACTATTTATATCAATACCAGAAAGGCCTCCTCAGCGATGAATATAGGAGATAGTGTGATTAATGTTATTAAATTCTACTTTAATTACAAACCTTTTTCTTTTTCTCTTCCAACCATACTATAACCCTATTACTACTGAAGTGATTCTCTTAGCTGATTGTGTGCAGCCTTTATCAAACCCTTTTGAAAATCTAAGTACATCAAATACATATACTTATTGTCATCCAGACAACAAGCAACATCTTAAATATAAAATAAAAGGTATGTATCCCTTTAGAGGGCTTGAAATTATTGAGGCCCGGGAGCCAATGGCCCACCAAAATACTGGCGAGCCCATAAAAAGTGTCTACTATGTAGTTTGCATGGCCCCTTAAAATAAAAAGAACCCTTAAAAGTTTGACTCAACATAAATTGATCTAAGCATTTCTTAACCAAGTAGAACTTATGACAAACCATGCATGGGACTTCCTAAATTTATGAACACTCAACAATCCTGTACAATCCACAAACATCATCACTATGAATCACCATGCAA